TGCTGAGTCATTTCAAATAGAATTTTTCTTCCCAAATTCGATTACTAAAGGAGTTTGAGTGCAGCAGTTCCACACTCTGAAATTATTACCAATTTCCAATATCCAAAAGTGGCTTCATGATGACTGCTAAAGCCCTGTTAACTTAGAGCAGGAATTCTGCTCTTTCAACCTGGTAGGCATCAGTACACGTTTGCTTGCTGGTGGCAGGCAGAAAACAGTCACTACCAGCTTGCAGCAGGGGCCTCTCCTGGCATACCTGAACCCAGCTTTATCCAGTCAAACCACTTTTTAATCCTGATCCAGTATGCTAGTGGGGCAGAGACTGTGGGAAGCGTGATTGTGCCTTTCTTTATTTGCTGGGCATTTAGACTGGGCAGCATCAGCAGTTAATCAGTCTGTTGGTGCATGTAACAGCTGTAGTTTTACATAGGAGATTAAGAAAGTTGCAGTATATTTGTATTTTTCTGAAGTGATGCTACTATTCACTGTAAAGGAAGTCTGTAAGATGGATATCAAAAATAACATTAATGAGCTACTAAAGCTAGAATTACAGGAACTTATGAAATTGGTTAAACATAAAAACCATTAAACTGTTTATTGAAGCTTCACAGATATACTGCAGCTAATGAGCATTTCTGCTATTTAAATAAGCCCAAATTGAACACACATTACATAGATACATAATTAGTCATGGCAGTCAAACACACAGAGACTCACTTTTAAAGCTTTATTTGAGGAATCTTTTCCATTTGATTTGTTTTGTTAATTAAAATACTTTTTCTGTATTCACTTATATTTTAATATTGTTTTTGCAAGTGCTAGAATTTGCTGCTGCTTTTCCATTTGCGTTTGTTTGCTCTGTGAATATAGAAAATTTGGAATATATATTCAGAATTATCCTTTTGTTTAGTGTTATTTGTGTTAGCATTACTTGATAGCATTAGAGTAACTCAATTGTGTGTTGTCTTTCATCCAGAAGGATCTTTTCAAATTGTGCATAATGTCTCACCAGGATATGGAGGAGAAGGCAGCATAGCCACAGGATTGTACTTTGAATTTTCAAGAGAAAAGCTATGTTAGTTTTAAGCTTCGAAGGGTGTGAGGGTGCAGGGATTTAGGACACACTCTTTTCTTTACCCCCGTCCCAAAGCATGCACCAACAAAAACATGAAGTATCCAGTTTGCTTAATGTTCAGTGTCAAACAGCAATTCAGAGAACCGATGTTGAGGTCAGGTTTGACTCTTAGACTCTCTGACACCGTGCAGGGACAGAGAAGGGACTTCCCTTTGTGAAGACTAAAGTTCTCCACTTCTTTCTGCAAGTGGTCTAGGAGGTGGTCACTTCAGCCTCACAGTTGCCAGTACGAGATCCAAATTGTGAGGACGTTAGGAATTCTCATATAAGATGTTTTTAAATCATGCCCTTATTTTTACTTAACTTAAATCTTGGAGATTAAAAAAAAGACAGAAAGAAATAGCTGCTGGATACCATGTCAGCTTGCCACCAGGAAAATGTTCTTTCCCAATTTTAAAAATACTGACCAGCAGACAAATCCCCAGGCCCTGGGGAGATGTGTCAGTGAAGGTATGTTGGGCATTCTTTGCACTCAAAAAGCTTTTGATATAATTATGTCCAGACAGCTAGTTTAGCACAAGACAATCCAAAGATAGATTTGAGAAATGGAATAGATCCAGGATAACAGAAGTAATACCCTATTTTTCCACAAGATTAAATAAGTAGTCAGAACTTCCAGTTTTACATCATTTGTTCTGAAAAACTACATCTCCAGTAGTATGTTGCCCTTTAACACCTACCGTGGTTCAGTCCTGTCTCAGAGAAACACAAGTCATCTATTAAATCCCAGATACCAAATCCCGCAGCACGAAGTTTTCCTCTGGGTTTTTTCCAAACATGTCTTTACAAGCCTGTACGTGTTTAGCTTGTGAGAACTGTCTATACCACATGCTGAGATGGTACCACTGCATGCAATGAGTTATCCTATATATGACAAATATAAGACGATCAAAGCTTTCTGGAAGTACAGACAGTCTGAGACATAAAGAGAAAGTTAATGTATCGATTTATAAATAGTACTTGAAGCATTCTTAATAAAACTGTTATCAGCCATTATCAACGCTTTCCTTTTTTAAAAAAAGGGAAATAAAAAACACCTCGAACCCGAAAGAAGCCAACCAAAAAACTCATTTTCCAGACTGGAAAATGTCTCAGTCTGAAGGTTGTGTTTGGTGTGATCTTTCAGTAATTTAAATATTTCTAAAGGACACCATTTCATATGTTTTTGATTCTGTTGCTACATGAATATTAGTTTTGCCAAGTTAAGCCACAAAGATATGTGGGGTGGGAGGGATTGTGCAAACAATAGGACTTGAAGATAGATTAAATCCTTCTGGTATGAAAACCTGCTACAGTGTTTCAGCTTAAAACTGTCTTCTGTGATTCTGGCTTCTGAACCAGTTGCAATAAAGTACTTTGGATTTGAGTCCTCTGGATATTTGTGTATCCCAAGGCTGAGGAGGAGAGGCATAGGTGGGAAAAGTAGGTCACAATTTTTGTGCCTTGCTTCCTATTTGTTATTTGGCCCTGGGTTATACACAGCCCCCACTTTGAAATACATTTCTAGTATACGATTTGGAGGTGAAGAGAGATACAGAGCCTGGGAAGAAAATTCCATTGCGATGATGTGTGAGAAAGATGCATTTGAAGCTTGCTGTATACTCAGGTGTGTGCTGGGGCAGTACTGTGACTCTGCCCTTGTATTGGAGAAATATTCTTGTCTTAAACTGGCAGGTTTCTCTTTTACATATATGACAGCACAACTACATCAGTTTAATTGACCTTGGCAATATGCATCTGCTAGTGGTATGTCCCTGAGGGACATTGCAATTTTAAGCTGCGTTTTATTGCAGAATCTTCAGTTCCTGTAGACAAAGCTATATAAAAACCCGCTCATTTTGATATATGCCACCAACATTTGCTAAAAATATTTATTGAAAAAGTGGTTCTCTTCACAAAGCTACTTTGAAGTGTCTTTTCTGTTATAATAAAATGATTTTAAAATGTGTAATAAAAATCCTGTTAATATAGAGCAAGAGTTTTTATTCTCAGTAAGTATGTGTATTGAATGCCATTTGTATAATTCCATGCAGTATAAAAAATTATGTTTTTTTTTCACATCTACATTATTTTTAAAGACAATAATAGTTTATGTTCAGAATTCCTATATATGCTGTTTACTAACATGAAAAAAATTAAGGTATCTTAATACATGCTCTAAAACACCAACGGAATTTACAATGAAAAGATATAAAAGATAATGTTTTCATGTAAGCATTAAGCATTTAATTTTGAGTGTGTTTTGATGTTTTTATTCTTAATATATGTAAGAAGTTTCAAAGCGAGCCTGACTTTCAGGGTGTTCTGAGTTTAAGTATAAAGTCAGGATGGTTTTGACTTTATCGAAATGTATCTTTTTCAGAATTAAATTTCTTTAAAACTAACACACTTTGTCAAAGCCAAAGCTTTGATAGTGTAACATTTCCTGGTGGGAATATGTTGCATCTCAAAATTTTCAGTCTGGTTTAATAATGACCTGTCAAAAGTAGCAGAGTATCATTTCTGTTGTGAGGGTTAATAAATGTGGGAGGTAAATTCTGGAGATCTAAATGAATTTCTAGAAATTGTATCATAAATATTCTTTCTTCATTTTAAAACTCAAAAATTGTATGCTGCATATGAAGTTGCAGAATGAAGTATGTGGTAGGTTATTCAGGACAAAAGCATGTCGATATGGTAAATGCAATACAAAGCTATGGGTGGAGGGAAAGGGAGAAAATTTTCCTTTGTTAATATGATTCATTAGCAGGTTTTTCAGAAGTGCTGGACTTTTTCCCTGGCAGATGAGCAATGTCAGTGAGAATGACTTTGTGAAACCCAGCTTCTGGCATATGTTCTCAGGGAGTGACCAGAGGAACATTAGCACCAATTATTTCTTGAGCCTGTGTTAAGTCAGTCACTTCTTGTGTCACTTGGGTACATTTGTCTTGTACACAAGCCTGGCTTTGCAGGCACACAGGACCCGGTTACTTTTCTGATATTACAAACTGCTGTTCTATATAATGTATGTTGTTCTTCTGTCTGACTCCTGTTAGTATTTACATACCTTCACAAGCTCAGCAAAAACATTCATGTATATAAAAGGACTTTTCATTTCTACTGTAAATTTACATTTAAGTGAAAGAACTGGGACTTGGAACTGGTTTTCAGTGTATATTTGACAGATTTTAGCAACAGGGTTTTGTTTCTTTTATTAATATACTTGTTGTTCAATTTAATTACAGTCAGAGAGGCCATGGCACCTATCAAGTTTAACAAATGGGGTCTTCCTGAAGTAGATCCAGAAACTATGCAAACAAGTGAACCCTGGGTTTTTGCAGGGGGTGACATTGGTGGTCTTGCTAACACTACAGTGGAATCGGTAAATGATGGAAAACAAGCTTCCTGGTACATGCACAGATACATACAGGTGATTTTTTAAAAGTATTTTTCTCTTTCCCATTTCTATCTGCTTTTAGATACTTTTATTGTGATTGTTAAAACAATTTAATTTGATTTAGATTGAAAATGCAAGTCCTGAGGAACTAATACCTAGATTATCTGGTGGTTTGAACATTATAGATTCATTCAACTTGGATCACATACGTGAGTTTGGGTAGTTGAACCCAACATTCTTAAGTTATCTTAACACTAAAGTCCAAGCAACATTTTCTTGGCCCCAGGTCTGAATTCTGCTCAAGGGTAGAATGTACCCTCAGCAAGTTTGCTGACGACACCAAACTGGGAGGTGTGGTAGATACACCAGAAGGCTGTGCTGCCATTCAGCGTGACCTGGATAGGCTGGAAATTTGGGCAGAGAGGAACCTGATGAGGTTCAACAAAGCCAAATGCAGGGTCCTGCACCTGGGGAGGAACAACCTCATGCACCAGTACAGGCTTGGGGCGGACCTGCTGGAGAGCAGCTCTGCGGAGAGGGACCTGGGTGTCCTGGTGGACGACAGGTTAACTATGAGCCAGCAGTGTGCCCTGGCTGCCAAGAAGGCCAATGGGATCCTGGGGTGCATCAAGAAGAGTGTGGCCAGCAGGACAAGGGAGGTTCTCCTTCCCCTCTACACTACCCTGGTGAGGCCTCATCTGGAGTACTGTGTCCAGTTCTGGGCTCCCCAGTTCAAGAAGGATGAAGAGCTACTGGAGAGAGTCCAGCGGAGGGCTACAAGGATGGTGAGGGGACTGGAACATCTCCACTACGAGGAGAGGTTGAGGGAACTGGGCTTGTTCAGCCTGAAGAAGAGAAGGCTGCAAGGGGACCTTATAAATGCCTACAAATATCTGAAGGGTGGGTGTCAGGAGGATGAGGCCAAGCTCTTTTCAGTGGTGCCCAGTGACAGGACAAGGGGCAATGGGCACAAACTGAAGCACAGGAAGTTCCGTCTGAACATGAGGAGGAACTTCTTCCCTCTGAGGGTGACGGAGCACTGGAACAGGCTGCCCAGGGAGGTTATTCTGTAGCAAGCCTTCCTGTACAATACACAGTGCAAGTACAAGTCCTAATTAGGTAATTGGGGAAAAGAAGCGAGCCCATCAGTATTAAAAAGTAAAACCTCTCAATAACGCATAATATAAAAGTAAAAATTAAATACTGCTAATGTTGTTACCTAGGGAAGACAGTTTTAATATTTTTAAAGTGCAAGTGTGCTAACAGTTTGTAGAACACTCAGAGTATCTACACTGAAACCAAAATTTGATCTGATGAGGCTGATAAACTGGACACAAGAATGCACTGAGAAAATAGTGGAAAGGAGAATTGACCTGAGAAATGTGATTTTAAGGGGAACAGACTTGAAAAAGTAACTGCATGTTGCCTTTTGGTGCTCCTTGTGTGTTGCTGACTGAGCACCTCTGCCCTAATTTTTCTGGTAAAAGAAAGAGCACAAAGTCTAGAGGAGCTGCAGAGGAACCTGCAAATACAGGAGAGACAGCCTGTGTGTGGAGAACCAGCTCTCAAATAGTGTGTTCATAGTGCAAGGAACTTTTTAGAAACATGACACATGATTCATTCTCCCACAAAATGAGATTTGAACAACTGAAGATGGGACTGTAACAGCTCGATGTCTTTCTCCCCCATCCATCTGCTCAAAACCTCTGATTGTATGTTTCTGCAATTTCATGCTGTTGGGGTCTGATTTCACTTCCTAAAAATACTTCAACTGAAAACTTGTTGTTAGTATTGGTGCATACTTTTTCTCACTTGTTCTAAAGCACTGTTTGTGTCCTGCCTTCTTAGACCCTATGAAAATGCTGAGTGTGAAACATCTTTAGTCCCTGACCTGCTTGCTTAATTTCTCAGTGCACAGTGAATTTGGGTAACTCTGATAGGGGGAGAGGGAGGTGTCTCATCCTTTTTGTCTCCTTCCTCTTTAACCTCTAGAACTGCATGCATCAGTTAAAAACTCTCCTTTATCGTGTTGCTTCCTCCACAAAGCTTGCTTTTTGTTCCCCCTCTGGAATGTGTCGGATACTTTGGAAAAAATCTGAATAGTCATGGCTTGAGAATTAGAATTTTAAATCAAGCAGGCTTGTGATATTAGACCATTTTCATTACCCTTTGCAGGTTTCAAGGCAGTTTATTCGACCTTACAGTCTCACCAGGAAGCTAATGGGAAAGCCTTACAGCAATCTTCACAGGAAAGTTTCCAAATGTCAAGTGTCACCTTTCCAGCTGTTAGATGAATGGGTTGCCCGGGGGCATTTATTTGGATGTGCAGCCCTTGTAAAATCTGGTTGCTGTGGTGCAGTGCTGTAATTTGGCAATTTACTTCACCAGTGTTTCAACCTGGTAGAAATTTTAGTGACTGGAGGAGAGTTTGTTTTTTAAAGGAGTTGTTTAGAGAAGGATTGTGTTACCCTGATGTTTATAGGGGTAGATATGTACATGTGTGCATGCCTTTGTGTGCATGTGTATGCACGCATTCAATCCGCAGCCCTGTATTCTGGGAACTTCCAATATCAAGTGAAAAAACACCCTTACACACTACCTTACTTTCTCTCTACTGTGGGACTGTAAAGCAAGCAACCTTCCTGTGATCGGAGTGTCTGAATTGAGTACACGTTAAATTTTAAGTAAATACATTGATGTCATCTATCCATTTACATTTTAGTTACAGGAATAGGCAGCCATTTCCAAAATCACAGACTGTCTCAGCACCAGGATCTGTAAATAATGCAGTCATCCTTTAGCAAAATAAAACTATTCCATAGGATTTCTCAACCAATCCAAGACCATGCCAAAGACAGAAACCCAAAAACATCATCCCGACTACTTGCAGAGTGCACTGTTTGAACGGCACGCCTCTTGAATCCCAACCTACTCCAGGCAAAAGGCTAAGCAAACAGATGGGCCCGATATGTGCCCTGAAACTCCAGTCATTGCAAGCTCTGGCATATGGTCAAATGAAGCATGAGATCCAGACTCAAGAACTCTCCAGCAGAAATGCCTTATGTTCAAAACTGGGAGTTATTTACAGAAGCTTCTTGGCTGCTCTTATGCTGGAAACTTTCCATCATTAGTTGCCTAAATATCTCCTGCCTCTTAACATATTCCTCCCACTATATGAAGCATAGGTTCATCTTAAAAACTGTTGCCTGCAGCTGTGTCAGGTTAGTTTCTACAAACATGACCAGTCAAAGCCTAACTAAGGATAGTTGTAGTAGAACCTGTTAGAAAATATAGTCAGTCTTCCTGTTCTTTCTGATTTGTTAGGGATCCAAACAGAATCAGCACAATTCATGCAACTGTCTACTATTTACAACATTTTTTCAGGAGTCAACCTTTTTTGTTGTTCCATGAATGATGTAAAAATGTCTGTAAAATAATCTGGGTGATTTATTTAGTTTGGGGATTGTAATGGCCCTCGCTTTTGTCCAGTAGTGACTTTATGATCTTGTGCAGAAGCAATACAGGCTGCTGTTTTCTTCTATGCCTCAGTTACCATTCATTTCTATTTGATCAGTGAATGGAATTTAATAATATAATAGTTACATACAGGGTATTTCACAATTATTGCAGGACTAACTTCTAATTTTCTGTGCCTGCCTTGAGAGCAAAGACAGCTCTTACATCGTGATTCTTCCAGTATTTTCTTCCTGGGCCACTTCACCAGCCTTGATGCTTCACTTCTGCTCTATTCATATACTTACCTGTGGAGCGTTTTCCCATATGTGGCCCGCAAGCTGCCATCTTCTTCTCACTAGAATCCCTCTTAGAAAGTGACTTTTCCTCTCTGGTTCACAAGAAGCTTTCTCTTATTTAAATCTATTTTTTCTTTACTGTTATGTCCCCGGTGTGGACAGTTTGTTTTATATTTTTCCTAGACTGAAATGTACATGATACACTTAAAGAATGGAGAGCTGGATCCCAACTGATACAAATTGCACTTCACTAAGACACTATTCAGTATGAATTTTGAGAACATCACTGTGTTATTTTGAACCAGTATTGTATATTTGCTTAGTTTTTTCTTTATCTATACAGTCAAAAAATATTTGGGCTTTGTATCTGAAGAGTAAAGTTGTTGATTCTTTTATGAAGGTTGACCATTCTCATATATTCCTTGAGCATGCATGAATGTGCATTGTTTCATAATCAATGCCAGAGAGGGGTGGTTCCCAGGAAGCTTGTCTTTGAAGCTGTTAGTTATGTTGTCTGCTTCTTTTCAGAATAACCGAAGGAAAAAATGAATGTCCCTTTGTTTAGCTAGAACAACGTATGAAACACTAGCATGGAGACAAGTAACAAAGTACTGTTTGCAAGAAGACGGACTAAATGCAAGTGCAGGAAACCTGGTATTTTAGTTGCTTACCACTGAGTAAGCAATATGTCTCTTTGAGAAACAGAAAGCCAGGAAGGAGCTTAGAAAATCTCTGTCCAACTGCCCCAAGCAACCTGTTCTTGTTGACCCTGCTTTGAGCAAGCGTGTTGGACTAGATGGTCCCAGGCATCCCTTCCACAATCATTCTGAGATTGTATGAAATAGCGTAAACATATTTAACAAAGTTAAATAATGGATAATTGGAGAGAGGATAGAAGAAGCACATGCAAGGGAGAAAAGATATATTTTAAGATCAGGTTTAAACATAGAGAGAGCAGGAGTGAGATGAAAGTATTCAGGAAAACTCTTTGAGGCAGTAGCATTTGTAGATAAGGCTTTCTTTGAAAAATAACAGTAATACAACTACTCACTTTCACAGTCTGTCTTTGTTAAAGGCCTGAAAATGGAGTTAGACCATATCACTGTGGTTAAGAATTTTCTCCATCTCAAGAAAATGAATGTCACAAATTGTGTCAGGTCTAAAGCTGAGCTCTTGTCTCTCGGCCCTGCTCTACACACTCTGCTGCTTTTGCCTGTAGCCATATTATGGTAGGGCCACTGCATGTGACGTACAGGGGATTTTTCACCACCCTATTCCAGTATCCAAAGAATTGCCATGACTGGAACAATAAGTACCTTCAATATTGTTAGCTCAGCTGGTTGGCATCAAATTAGAGGACTTTTTGTCCTCTTTTTTTAAAAAATCACGGGAAGAGTTATTATAAACAAATCCTTGCCTACAGGCTTTCTTTTCCTGTTTGTTTGTGCAATGTCAGGGAAATCCTTCATTGTAAAGATGATTTTGCTTTCAGGAAGCTAGAATACATTTTAGTTTGCCAAAAGTTTTGTTTTGTAGAAAACAACACATCAAGGCTTAGTAAATTTATTTCCTTTATAAGCATTGTGCTGAAAAAACAGCAAAAAATAAATAGAGCAAAAAGGGAAGTGATAGGAAGGAGGGAGATAAATCTGTGAGGATGTATAGACACTGGCTACTGAACCTTCTGCTGCATTTTGCCCCTGTGTGTTTTTAAAAGACTCTGTTTATTCCATTAAAAGCTTTTTTTCTGCTCCCCCTGCCACCTCCACCTGGGTCACCTCATCATTAACAAACCATTAGGCACATCTTGCAGTGCTTGAGTGTATCTGGTGGAATTGTTTGTGGTTTTGCTCTTTGTGAGGGAAGTTGGGCAGGAAGAATAGGCCTGTTTGCGTATGGTTGAGGAAGTTGCTTGTGACCAGTTTGCCTGATGGCATGCAGGAGGCAAGGCCTATTTTTGCATGGGTGTATTCAACCACCTGGTTCAAAAGCCTCATTGCTCTAGTGGATTTTTTTTTTTGTCTTGTATAGTATTCATTTTCTGTTTTATCACAGAAAGATTGTTTTGGGTCTCTCGTTAAGAATCACTTTCAAGCAACACTCATTTTAGGTGAGAACAGCTTTTAGAGGTTAAATTGTCCAGCTTGGGACAAGAAACAGTACAATGTAACTAAAGTTGCATACTGAGCACTTTGTCTGTCTGTCTGTCTACAGCAATCAATATTTAGTTATACAAACAATGAATAGTTCATGAGCGATCCACAGACTGAAATATATTTGCAGAGAACATTTGAACAATTCTGGATAGCAAATGAATTAACAAATAACTGCTTTCCAAATGGAAGATTAGGTTTATTACTCACATGTGCACATAGAGTGGAATTGGCCAAAAACCTTTCCATAAATCTTTCTTTGTTGTCATTCTTACAGAATCAAAATCAAAGAGTTCAGTGTAAGAGTTCAGTGTGTCAGTGTTGGCTTCAGCAGATTTCCTGACTTCCAAATATGTAGGAGACAAAAAGCGCTAACATTTTAAAAATGCTTTAATTTAAATCGTGTGATCCAGGAATTTCTGTTGTGGCATTGCAAAGAACGTTTTGCAGTTGACATTTTAGTTAACAAAGACTAAAAAAAAAAGTTAAAAGGATGAAATCAAACCAAAAATAATTGGAAGATAATACTTCCTTTTTATTTTTTTTTTCTTTTCTTTGATTTGTCAGTTAACAAAAGCTTTTGAGATGTGTAGAATGCCGCACTGTTTGGTCTTCTAAGAACTGAGATTCTTCTGGTGCAGGAAAACAGCCCTGGGGAGTATGACAGGCAGGAACCAGTGAGCACTCAGGAGGGATGAGATGAGCGTTGTCTGGCTTTTTAGAACAGTGGCTGCGTCGGCTGCTAGAGGGAAGAGGTGGTGATACTGAAGGGAGTTTGGTCCCATGTGTTAGGGATCTTTAAATATTAACTTTTCTCAAAATGTCTGCCTTTAAGGACACGTTCATGTTTGCATCACTCAGGCGAGAACAGTTCCACTATTTTCAGTGCTTTTAAGCCATCAGAAAATTTGGCCCCTGAATGTATCCTCTCTCTTCAAGGAATCGAAGATCTGGGGTCAGAATCTGAGATGTGAATGCAGGCAGTCCCAAAACAAAACAGATATGTGAACTCTCAGGTTTTGAAACCAGCCTAGGAAACAAAAGTCACTAAAACAGACAACAGCCCCTTACCCCTTCCATGCTTATTAGTTTTCACATGTAAAAATAGGGTAAATAAGTTCCTTTAAAAAAAAGAAAAAAAACCTACCCCAAATGGCAGCAATTTGGAAGTGGATGAGGTTTTTACTCTGTTACAGAAAATCTTCCCCACACCTCCAGTAGTGGTTCTTTTTGTGTGCTGGGACCTGTTAGGAACACAGACTGTGTAGGGCTTCTCTGTGTTAGATATTCCTGCTTTATTTCTTTGTGATTTTATTGAGTCAACCATCTGAGTGAGCAAAGATTTTAATTCTACCTACCGCAGCCTGATTAGTATCCACAAATGCAAAAAGTTTTTCTCTCTACAATTTTTACAGTGTTAGATGCAACGTTTACGTTGAAAGCTTTTCATTGATCCTCCAGAGAAAAGACTGTCTTTAAAATGAAAACAAAACTGATTATGGTGTCACAGCCATAATGTGTATATTCTTCTTTGATCTCAAATCAGAGTCTAATTGTTGTCATCCTGAAAGTATTCATATTAATACAATTAAATATTAAAAAAATAATAGTTTTGCGTATATTAATATGTATCCCATTGAATAGGCTAGATAAAATTTTTAAAAAGGGGGGTAAAAAGGTGCAGGAGTTCAAATACATTGAGTTAGGGCTGAGTGATCCAGCACATGGATGCCTCCCCTCATTTTTGACAAGCAGATTGGCACCTGGGAAGAAAACTAGAAAGGGTCTGTTTGTGCATACCCTGGGATTTTTCAGTCTCACCGCTGCTGGGTGCTGTAGGAAACAGAACTGGCTGTTCAGAATCACTGAACAAACCTTTGGACTGAGCCAGGCTAGCAGTACAGGATGTGAAACAACTGTTTCATTATTATTATTATTCAGTTATTTTCATCATGGCATAATATTGCAGCATGAATGCTGTTTGAACAGAAGATGTTACATAAACAAGTTTTTGCATGTTTTGCTGATTTGCGAGTCTGAACACAGAATACTTGAACTTTGGGTTATTATATGTGAACTATTCCCTTATCAGGGTTAATAATAAATTATATAAAAATGAATCAGCAAAAATTTCTGTGATTTTTGTTTGGTTTTTACAGTCCTTACATGGTGTTGCAGTTTCTACAGTTCCAGAGCTACCACTCTTCTATACTCCTATCGATTTAGTTGACATCAGTGTAGAAGTGGCTGGACTGAAGTTTCCAAATCCTTTTGGCCTTGCCAGTGCAACCCCCACTACTAGTTCAGCAATGATTCGAAGAGCTTTTGAAGCTGGATGGGGCTTTGCTGTCACTAAAACATTCTCCCTGGATAAGGTAAGGAAATATTTTAAAGTGTATTTGGCATGTAACCATTTCTTTGTGTATTTGAAAAACCTGAATCTTTTGGGAATGGCACTGTTAAATCTAGTTAGCATAAAGATAGCAGGGGGAGGGTATGATACATTGTGTAGGTCAACTAGTCTGGGAGGTTCCAACAGTGCAGTGTAAAGGTGACACAGCTTCTGGCTTTGCTTGCTGGTACATTCTTGCTTTTTGTTCCCCAACCTTTTAATATTAGCCATCTAGTAAGGGTAATAGTCCTTTCTTTTAAATATTGCAATGAAAGTGTTTTCTGTGAGGGATCAGAATGCAAAGGGAATGAGTAACAGCTCTATCAAGCAACTCATGAAAGGCAGCTTCTGGGCTGTGGACTGCCAAGATAAGCCATTGAAAATTGAGTTGCAGTTGCAATGTGATAATGTGGGTGTAAGCTTGAGGCTGCGTGGGTAGTGGAAGAGAAAGACGGAGACAATATAAAACAAGCCTATGAAGGGAAGAGTAGTTGTGTTGAAGGTTTGTAGTACAGTGACATAAATCTTCGGTTACACGTAGTGGAAGACAAGGAGTTAGAATTAAGTCTCGAAGGCTATGGCTCAGTGTGGCACCTAAAATAAAGCATTTTGTGTAGATTTGAAGGGTGTAATTATTTGACCTGAGAATTGCATTCAGGGTGGGTTTCTTGTTACAACATTTAAAATGGCAAAATGAGATGGAGCAAGAAGTTTAGACAGTGAAAGAAAACAACAGTTTTAATAAGTGTATTGCAGAGAAAAGAAACAGGATCTGTGCTGCGATGTAGATGTAGTTTGAGTTGTGGAGAGGGGAAGAGGATCAAAGGTGAATCCTTGGGTATAGGCCTGAGTAACAGGGTGAATAATGGTAATCTGTTGTCAACCAGTGACAAACAGTAGCGTGGGCTGAAGACAGATTAATTTGGAAACAAGGAGCTTTTATTCTTGGTTCAGAGGTGGGATGTAAAAGTGTGCTGGTGGATGGACACCTCAGCAGGAGAGAAAAGGTGAATTTGTTACTCTGCCACCTCTACATGGGAAAGTACTATAACTGAACTAACTATAGAGGGTGGCCCTCTAATATGAAGAAGGTCTAAGAACAAAGTGCTATATTACTACAGCATAGTGTAAAATATGTCATACTCACTTCTGCTCTCACTTACACCTGAGTAAGCATTTCTGTAAATTGCAATGAGATCCCAATCTACTTCACAGAGTTTCTTATTAAAACACTTTTTCAAACATAAATGTCATTGAAGTATGTTTACAACTGACTTATGTGTGTAACATACCGTCAGCTGTAATTATTCAGTGCCTAGGCTAAAGGCAACTCATAGCAAGTACGGAGATTTATTTATTTATCAGTTTTATTGCTGGTATGCTCGCAGTCCTGCCAGACTGCATGTTGATTACTGTGTGTCTCAAGAGCTAAACAGACACTGGCTGAGTTCCAGCTTGGGTGGGAGTTCAGGAGGAAAGACATGCATGTTGTAGGAAGTGATGTTGGTACTCCACTAAGCAGCAGACTCTGAGTCATTTCTCAAATGGTGACTGCAACATGTTCCACAGGATGCTGTGCTTTGGAGGAGTGACTCAAATAGAGATGTTTCAAGGGAGAGGATTGCTAAAAGCAAGTATCTTAAGGGGTTATAAAATGATTTTTTTTTTAATATTTGTTGCAAGAAGCTGCAAAATATTGCAGGTAGTGTTTATTTTAAAGAGCAAAAGTTCAGAAAAGTGCTTTAAATGAATTCTAGTCCAGTAATTATTATTTCTAGCTAAACTTTCTTCTGAAGTTCACTAGGAGGCAGTAATCTTTCTCTGGAGTCTAAACTCTTGAATCATATATTGCTGTGTGGAGTAGGACTGTGTCCCACACCAGTACTACCTAGTTTTTCTACTATTGTATTCTTCCCAGTAGTGCTCTTCCCACAGGTCTTAAGTCTTAGTGTTTGTGACATGATTTGAGTTCTTGGCTGCGAGGTGCCGCAGAAACAAAATTGCTTTTATTTATAATAGTAGCATAGTAATTAATACTACAAAATAAATATTTCAAATGGGAAGAAAAGCTCAATGAGGTACAGCAGTGCTTATGTGAACAAAGCGTACTACACAAAGACTTCTCTTGTTGACTGAACAACAAAGAGTTGGTAGAGAGTTTGGAATAATATAGGTTGGCATAATGTGCAAACTTCTTTTTTTAATTTAAACTAAGCTTCTGATTATGTAGACGTAAATCTTGTGCAGTGTCCAGCAGGGCAGAATGGTCTCTTGGGCTGCGGTACCTATGGAAGTAGAGATTTCAGACTGAACTGTCCTGCCCAGCTAGTCACAGCTAATGGCATAGCAGGACCAAGTACAAATATTTCCTGATTGAAGCCTGCAGAGTCAGTGGGAGGAGACAGAGCTGCTCCCCAGACAGTACAGTTCCCAAGAGCGGAACAGCTTCTGGAAGGAAGGGAGCTCACTAGACTCAGTTTTTGTCAGCTGATCCTCCTCCTCTTCAGCCTTGATTGTATGTGATACAAGCAGGATTCTATGTTCATCCCTCTTGTCTCCTCGTTTATCTGTCCCGTTTAGGTTTAACTTGTGGGCTTGCTTCTTACTTGCAGTAGTTAAAGGCCAAGTGTAAACTGCCTGTGTGGCAATGGGGAGCTTAGCAGCAGGAGAAATGCTGATTACTGAATTCACCACTGTATTCAGTCACTGACAGGGAAACCAGTGACTTCTCTGTTGACCATGGGCATCCTTTGGCACTTCAGCAAAAGTGACTGATGCAGGCTAAATTTGAGTGATGTATAGCTAGTGAAAAGCATATACAGCCTAACCACAGATTTCCGTACATTAACTTACTGTGTGATGGAATAAGATCAGAGAGAAAAGCAGGATAAATCTTGGAAGAAGGAGATCCAAGGACAAAGATAGAGAGGACTCTGACTGGAGTGCTGTGATTCTCAGAAGACAGAGGATTCATTTCATATGAACTTCTTTTCCCTCTTTCACTACCTAGCACAGAAAACTCCTTGGAGCTGATGAGAGGCCATACTTTCTTGTACAGGGCAACTGTTGGAGAGCGATGCTGCAGTTCTAGTCCCTGGACCATAATTTACTCCCCCAGTCTTCCCAACCCTTGTCTGTCTTGGCCTCACCTTGAAAGCATCACGTATTGCCACAGAGGGAGTTAGCATAGCACTAACTGTTTTGTGCCGTGCTCCCTTTTCAAACACCCACATACTTCACTGCATAATTGCCTTCATGACAACCTGTGTAGCGTTTTTTGTTTGTAGGGTGAGGATTTCAACTCTGAGTGATTCAGCAAAAGTTTGTTCTTGCAGACTACTGTACTATTGTTGAAACATAAAAAAAGCTAACATGAAAAATAACTGAAATTCCTCTAGAGTATTTGTACCTATTAGTATACTGAACTCTAAATATTTTAGAAGGTACTGGAAATTATAGCATAATGCAAATATTAATTATAGGGTACTGTACCTGTATGTGTCTGTAGGTGTCTGTGAGGGGGACAGTGACTTGTAGAATTTTATTTACCAAATTAAACATCTTTGCACAGCAGCTTTAGTATCAAATAGATCTGATTGCTTCCAGAAATGAGAATAACTGCTTTTAAAATGGACTATCGCTAGGAAAGACAAATGGTAGCAGAATAAAAATGCCTCTTCACACACCTTTTCCTACGTTCATGTCTTCCCTTGTTGACTGCAGGATCAATAGCTCATTGCTCTATTGGTTCAGATAGTATTTCTTTCTTATTCAGATAACTCTGTGCTGCAACGTATGATTTGTAATTTCTGTGGGCAAGCTATTGGTGGGAAATGGGGGAACTGCATATCACAGGGAAATGCAGGTATCATAGGTCCACAATAAATGAATACCAATTACTACCTATTTTAGAGTTTAGATGAACAGAAAGCTACCCACAGAATGAGAGATACTGCATTAATTAAACAAATAACTGCGAGTGGGAGTTTTTTAGTAGAAATGTTACACTGAGCTGGTTTATTTACTTAGAATTTATTAGTGAGCATTGTTTAGTACACAAAATTTGCTTTAAAACCTATAATCAGAAATATTCTGTAAACATAGTATCAAAATAAATCAGAGGTTATATGAAGTGTGCATGCCTCTATACCTTATCCATTACCACAGTGCAAAGTTTATAGCAGAAATTTTGGTTTTATCAACTGAATTCAGGCTTTGTTGTTCTCTCACTGCATTGTATGGGCTGCTTAGAAAGAGGAAAAAACCAAATGTGATAGCAGAAATGTGTGCTTTGATTTTTAGATGCTTCCTTCTCTTCTAAAATTTAATTCTGATTAATCAGATACATCTGTCTATTCTGTTGTGACATGCATTGATTTGTGATGCTGTCACTTTCAATAATGTGGAAACAGTTGCCTTTATTATGAGAACGAGCAGAAATCAACATGCAGACTGACTTAATTTTTAATCTTTAATATATTTTTCATTATATATGGAGCAAGTTGCATGGATGATTTTAAAAACAAAGCTACAATTAAAACTAGATTAATTTTGAACTAAACTGTAGTGGAGAAAACTTTCTAGTCATAATATATGTTTATACAATTCACTGATGTAGATTTTACAATATATTTGCAGAACCATTTCTAAATTAAAACCATTGCTGCTAGAGAATTAATTAATTTACCCAGGACATATCGCATTTCTGTGTGCTGTTATTACAATATACATATTTAGGCTCCAACTAGTTCTCTCTCTGTACATTTGCACTGTGTGCACCTCGCTTCATAATTGAAGGTGGTAAAAAATCATGGAACAATAACGCATTGTTTTCCATAACATTAGTATTTCATGGAAGTGAATCTGTATTACAAAATGTATATTTTTGTATGATATTACAGCATAGTAATTTAGATTAAACTAGTTATAATTTATGGTGCCAAGCCAAAAAGCTATTTAAGATGCATTAAAATGCAGAACCAT